TGGCAAGATACCTTTGGAACAGAGACACCAGGCTAACATGACCTCCCTTTGATTTTGTTTACTCCAAGATTTCCAAAGCTTTTTTGGAACTCACTGGCCAAACTTTGCCATGGCAGAGGTAGGATTTGTCTTCTCTCCTCTTGGCCAAAGAGGGCAGTGACAAATTGATACCAAATTTGTACAAGTGCTTTCTAGATTGGAAGTACGTGGTAATTTTTCTGACTTTCATTTATTTGTTTTTTTTTGTTTTGGTTTTTTTTTTAAGATTTTATTTTTCTTAATGAGAAATTCTGGCTTCTCTAAGAAGGCCCTGCAAGGACAGTTTACAAATTACTGTTGGAATGGTTTTTTTAACCATTTAATGAGTTTTTCCAAGTGATTGATCTCTGCTTATTTTGATCTCTTTTCTTGTAACCCTGCCTCCTCGCTTGGCTGCGGTGAGGACAGAAATTATCCTCTGCCAGCTTGTGGTGAGCTCTGGGAGCATGGTAGCATTTTGAGGAGGAGGTGGCATCCTCAGTAAATCATGGCTCTCCCCAGCAGGCGCGGTCAGGCTCGGTTTCTCTGAGGGCTTCCTCCTCCAATGAAGGACTTTTATTTTAATTAGAGAGAGACTACAAAGTTTCTGTCCCTCCTTAGCGGGTTGTTCCTGTTCCTCACTCTGTGTCACCTGTGTGGAGTTCATTCCAGTTCGCCTTGTGACTCGGGGTAGGATTCCAGGCCGGCTGAGTGGCAGAGCGCATCTCCCGCAGCCAACACCAGCACTCCAAGAGCATTAAGCGGCACGGGAGAGGCGAGAAACGTGGTTTGGAGACGTTTGGAGACGAGGGTCCTTTGCCTTAGAGACTGCAGTGGGTGGAACGGGGAGGTCAGACAGTCCTTTTCCAAGCTATGTGCCTAAATACCAGCACTCTCCTGGCGAGGGAGGAACTATAGGCGGCTACAACACTAATAGCACCCGCATTGTTGAGGGGGTGTGAGGTGTGGCTAAAGCAGGGCACAAGGGCCTGGCTTATTTGTCTTCTGGCCCTGTAGCAGCATCAAACTGCATCTGATTTTACTGCCCTCTGCTTCTGAGGGGAGCAGGGAGCTCCAGGCGGTTTTCTCTTTCTCCATTCCTTGTGCTCCAAATGAAGGAGACTGCCGAGACTGAAAGAAGGTTCACTTGTTTGTGCAAAGGAGGTGGTGTGATCTCTCTTTTGTGACCAGCATTTACAGATCACGCAGGCCGGTGTGATCTATAAAATAAATTTTAAAAAAGTTTGTTCCAAGTAAAAGTGTGTCTTCTTGCTTTTTGTCGCTCTGGAAAACCAGGCTGAAATCCAGAGGAAGCAGGTTTGCCTGGCACCAGGTTCATTTGCCGACTAGAAGATGAGGCTGTGCTCATAGTGGCAGCAGGGCAGGGCATGGCACAGCACAGGAGAGCTGCTGCTGAGCCTCACCACGGCCCTGACAGCTTTTACTCTGGCCAAAATGAAGCGCACCTCGCTGGCACAGTGGTAAAATGAGAACGTGGGCGTGGTGTGAGATGGTGAGTGGGTGTGAAGAGCAGCTCCAGCAAATCACTTGGGGCCAGCCCCATGAGAGAAACTGTTAGAGGTGCAGCATTAGCACAGCACTTGCAGTGCCTTCATACTGTGCTTCCTGGGACATGTACCTCACCTGTTTCTGCAAATACAGTGGGACTCTCCAGGGTTTTTCTGCCTCCTGGGTTGCTCTCAGAGGCTCAGAAAGGCTTTTTCTGCTCTGCACAGCCCTTTCACAGGTAAGTGTTGGGCTGTGGTATCTGGAGCTGAGGCCCACACAGCCCTTTTCCTCCTGGAAAAGGCTGGTCCAGGGCCAGCACGGAGCAAGCCTGGCCCTAACATAGTCTTCAGGGAGGAGCTGCATGGGTATTCCTCAGCATAAACCTTCCTCCAAGCTCAGGGTCACATGGCTGTGACCCTCCTCAAGCCAGTTCAATTTCCCATTTTTCAGCTTTTTTTATGCACTAAGTTAACCTCCTCAAGCTAAGGAAAATTAAGTATTTCCTTTCTACTTGCTTTGTAGCTGATGAGTAGTTAAGAGCCCATGTGAAGGAAAAGAGAAGCATGCAGATACCCTGAACTGACCTTTTTGTCAGGCTTTGTCTCTGCTAACCCAGCCTCACTTGCTGTTCCTCGGGGCCAAGCTGGGCTCTGCTCATGGTAAGACGGGATGAGAAAGCTTGGGAGGTGACTGCAGAATGAGGACAGCCAGGATATCACACACTTAAGTCTACTAGAAGTTTTTAGTCCCAAGGAATTGGAATTTTTAGGAGTAAGTCTTGTTTTCAGCATTGTTTCAGTTTCAAATTTTTGCATCCTGAAGCCTGCTCAATGACAAGGCCCTAGACTTAGTACATCAGGCTGGAAAATAAGGATTTGCTCTAAAACTACATAGAAGAAGAGCTCCAAGAATAGCTTTGTCTATGTACTAGCTGTGCATCATTCCCAACAGCACATTCAGTTACAAAACATCCAAATCACTCTGGGCAGTTTTGATATAATTTATGTCTTGGTCTTTTTTTTTTTCTTGCATAGGCATAAATTACAATCTGTTGATTAAAAAATAAAAGGAACAAAACAGTGCAGCATTTGCAACAGGCTACAGCATCAAACACAAACTCCTGTCTGTAACCATCTGTTTCTGCAGGGCTAATTCATAACACGTGTGTAGGGCAAACTGAGAAGGAGGGAGAAGAGAGGAGGGAAATGGAGTAAATAAGAGAAATATGCTCCCACAGCTGTTCTGCATTTCTCCTGTCTCACCAGGCTCATCTTCAGCATCAGCTCTAGGATTAAATACCCCTGGGCAGAGAAGCACATGCTGAAGCAACAGTTTTCTGTGCCCTCTTTTGCAGCTCTGGGAAGTGCTGCAGAAATGCTGCAAGCTACAATCTCAAGAGCCAGCAGCTCTGGGCACTCAGCACAGGTGCTTGGGCTGCAGCCCAGCACTGATGCTGAATTTGGGGACTGAAAACCCACATGTAGCCTCAGCATATGTTCCTGAAGATCCTCACACAGATGGCATGGTGAGGCCTCTAAAAACAGCTAGGAAAGAGCATGAAGCCCAAGCATGAGCTCTCACTGGTAGTTCCAGGGAGTTTTACTTAGTACAGCAAAGATTTTCATGTCCAAAGGACAGGGCAAGCTTGCACTGTAAAGCCAAATGCTCCCTAACCCAGACAAAGCAGTTAACACCCACATGGAAGGAGCAGAGTTCCCACTACAACTCCATTTTCCGGGGAAGAGGTCACCTTTCCTGCCTCTCATCAGCATGTCTGATTTACAACAAAATCATATTTTCTTGGGCCAAGACCTTGTCTGTTCTTATGTTCTTACAGTCCAAGCCAGAGACCAGGGAGACAGAAAGAACATAAGAAAAGGGGTTTTCCCAGGCTCGTGGTTATAGCTCTTGCTCCAACAGCCAGAGAAAGGTGAGGAAAAGGGAGAGCTTCACCTCTGCTCTCTCTTTATGATTCAAATAAATACAGGAGCTGGTCTGCCAAGCCCAAAACAGGTCTAGGCATTCATAAAAGCACAGCTCCATGTGCTCAGTGCACTCATGGACATGACTCCAAGGCAAGCAGGCAGCTGTAGACAAGTTTAAAATAACTTTGGCTGCGGATGCCAAGAATTAAGACTATGCTCAATATAGGAGAGAATTTATAGTCCCTGGCTCTGGCTCTAGGTCAGCTTTCTCCCTGCAGCAGGGCCTCCCAGTTCTGCAAGAGGCTCCACAGGGTAATTTTAACCTGTTGGAGATAAGACTGTGCCCTCTGGATTCACCTCCCCTGCTTGGAGCAAGGAGACCCTTCAGAAGGGATGTGCTGCCACCATCCTCATCCTCCCAGGCTGGCATGAAGGGAGTCAAGGCTCAGCAGCTCTGCCTGATGCCCATCAGAGGATGCTGAAAGGAGACACTACTTCAGCCCCTCCTCCTCCTCTATGCCTACAGTGCTTCAAGCAGAGACCACCAGAGTGGGAATCACTACATGGTGCTCTCATGGTGTCAGGGGAAGGGCAAACCAGCACTGGACAGGGCTGAAACTCTGACCATGAGCCCTTCAGCTTTTCTTTCAATGAAACATAACTAAAAACTGGAGGCAGTTAACACCATCCAAGCCAAACTGTGATGCAGGCAGCCAGGAGGTGGAGAAGCCAGATGGCCCTAGCACCCCTCAGCCTGGGGAAGGTCCCTGGGTATCCTTCCTGCAAACCCCTGCTGTGCCTCCACCCATCCCAACAGTACAGGCAAGATTTACATGCCCACTCCAGGCAGAACTCCCCCTCCTGCTCCAGCCCAGTCCTCCCACAGCCAGGGCTCAGAGAACAGTGCAATGCCAGTGAGGAGAGGTAGGAGGAAAAGGGAGCCCTTCCCAGAGAAAGGAGGTCAGCTTGCACCAGCCATCTGCCATGGAGGACCCGAGCTGAGGGAGCCCTGCAGGCAGGGGGTGGCTCTGCATGCTGGCACCTGCAAGCCCTGGCGATTGCCCCATCTCCCCCCGCAAGAGCCGTGCAGAGCCCTGGGGCAGCAGCTCCCACTTGCTGCTAACAGTCAAGTATATACAGATGCAGCCATGGGCAAGAGGCCACAGCCGTGCATTGCAGTCTCAGAGAACATCCAGAGCAAGGAGGGCAGGGAATGCCTCCAGCACCCCACCAGCAGCAGTGCACAGAGGACCCCAGCTTCCAAGTCCAGCTACCGAGCCACCAATAACGTGAGGCCCGTATTTTAAACATCTCTGCTCGTCTTATTCTAGCTTATCCTACTGTGTGCTAGTCTCCTACTAAACAAAGCTCTAGCCGTGTCCACATCTAAGCCACTCATCCAAGTGACACTATGTAACATTCTCTGGTTAAGTACAAATTGCATGAAAAACGTCTTTTTTCCCTTTGTTACTACAAACCCACCCCCCCACACAAAAAAACCAACCCCAATATCCCAATTGGAAAATAGCTCCCCTCCCCACCCCTCTTAAAAAAAAATTCAGAACAAACCCCAGAGGAAAAGCAGGCAACAGGAATTTTCAATAGCATCATCAAGCTTAACACTGGGGAGGCAGCCAGCCAGGGAGGCCAACAGCATCACCAACTCAGCTACTGGCAGCAGGAGGGCTTGAGAGGATGGATGGCAGCACAGAGGTGGGCTCTGCCACCAACACGTGCCACACTCCTCTCCTCCTGCTGCCCCAAACCATTAGTTTTATGTTAATACTTCATTAATACTGTCTTATTTCCTCTCTGCCGGCCCAGCATTGGAGGGCTGGAGATCTCTACCCAAACCAACACCAAGGCAAGAGAAGTGACCCTGTGTGGAGGGGACTTGGTGGCCACAACTGGTGGCTCCCACCTACTCCGGCAGCACCGAGTCAGGCACCACGGTCCCGCACACCGATCTCCTGCACCCAAGCTCGCATGAAGCACATGACAAAATGACACACCCCTTTCCCAAGCCCTGGCCATGCTAGAAAGGAGTGGGACAACAGGGAACAGGGGCAGCGCAAACCCGATACAAAGTTAGCTTAAAAAGTTAAAATGTCCCATATGCACTGAAAACAAGCCAGGCTGCGCTAGGACCCACGTGGGATGCTCTAGCCTCACCACCCCGGTCCTTGGAAGAGTGAAAGCCTCACCCCTTCAACACCAGCTCTTCTCCTCCCGGCCCCAGGGGAGAAGCTTCCCGGGGCGGCTGCTGGCACACGCCAGGATTTCTAGGTGCGAAGCAGTGAAGCAGACGCATCCCCTCCTGCTGTCAGCCCGGCAGCATCCTCATTCCTCTCGGGGCCGGGGTCAGTGCGCCGGCTCCCCGTGCACACGGAAGCGGTAGATGCACGTGTACTCAGGGTGGCCCCAATTGCTCAGCACCCGCAGCTCCACCAGCTGGTATGTGCCCACGGAGTCACCCTTGGGGAGGAGGGAAAAGAAAAACCTGAGACCCTGTGGGCTCTCTAAGGCTCAGAGACCCCAGAGGCCCCATTTTCTTCTCTGGGGTCAGATGCTCCAGGGGCAAAGCATTTACCTCCAAGTAAAATGTTTGGATGGGGTCGCCATTGTGGTCATAGGTGAACTGTCCAAGGAGAAGGCCCTCCTCCTCTCCTTCTTCTTTTAAGCCCTAAGGAAGGGCAGGGAGGCAGAAAGGGAGAATCAGGGGTCATCAGAGAGGGAGATGAGAGGTCATGCACACATCCAGGGCAGAAGAGGGAGAGGGAGACACAAGTGTGCCTGGCCCTCACTCCTGCTCTTCCAGGACAAAACAGACAAATGGGAACAGGGACCAGTGGGGAAGGATGAAGCGGGGGAAGACCAAAAGTTACATCTACTCAAGCCCCTTTGTCCTTGTGTTCCCCCAAATTCTTCCTGAAATCCGGTGCTGCCCCTCTCCCCACCAGTATTAATTATTTATCTTCTTCAGGGTAAGACCAACCCCCCCGGAGCATCCTACAGCCAGGTGTGGGGTTTGTTAGCCATCCCTTCCAGTGCCCTCCCACTGTGTTCCCCCCGCAGAGGTCTGGGCGAGGGCACTCACATAGACTGCAAAGTCCTTGGGGGCACTGGGGATGGTCCCCTGCGGTGAGAGGGCTTTTGGGATGTGCTCCAGTGTCACGGCCGTGGGGCGGATAATGCCAGAGAGGCGGATGACAGCAAAGCCCTGGGAGCCACGAAATGCCCAGCAGTTCCCAGGGTTGACGTCTGGCTACGAGCATGGAAGTGAAACGCCAGCAATGTTACCACCATCAGAGTCATTTCTCTCCCACCAGCCTGGCTGCTGGCTTGGAGCAACAGTCAAAGGCCAATAAAAGCCCCATGAGAACCAGCCCAGTCCTCTCACTCAGAGCCCACCTGCAGGATGACACGGGGGGACTGTGAGTGGTACCACAGGGGGATGCCAAACAAGCTCAGCAGCGCTGTCCGTGTCTCGTAGGTCTCTGAGCAGCGAGTGTTGATCACACTGGCCCCTGGCATGAGAGGGGATGGCAGCAGGTGAGCTGCAAGCCAGGATCCTGTGGTCATCTCCCCAAGGATCATCCCAACCACCTACCTGCTGACTCGAGGGCATAGTCAACCATCCCCACACGGTCCTCGCTGTAGCGCTTCAGGGCCTGGCCCACGATGAGATGCACTTGCTGCAGCGGGAGCAGAGGGCACAGGAGAGTGACAAACTGGGGCAGGCATCCTGCCCCTCACCCGCCTGCCCCTGCAGGGACAGAGGGTGCAAGGACCGTCCCGCAAAACAGCCAGAGGATAGAACAGCCAGGGGATGAATCACCGTGGCAAAAATGAGAGGACACGCATTTGGCTGGGAAGCCTCGTTAGAGGTTGCTAAAAATACTCCGGGGGAGAGGAGCTGTGCAGTGAAGGGGCAGCACCCAGGCATGCTGCACTTGCCTATTCCCAAGAGGGGCTGGCCCAGAGGGAGGAGAGCTGCCACCAGACACAGCCTGACAGGTCACTCAATCATCTGCTGGTCCCTCCTACCCTGTCCCACAGGATTGATGGGAGCTCCCCTCACCCAGAAAAAGAGGAGATGGCTGGAGCATCCATCTAGATCCAAACCCAGCCTAAGGAGCTAGGACCCTGTAGCACCACTTTGGGTCTAAACTTTACAGACTGCACAAGTTTACACAGGCTATGGGGACTGCTAATCCCAGCTTGATCCCTCCCTCTACTACCTCCACAGGGAATTGCCAGCAACTCTTTCCAAAGCAAGCAGGCTCATTTTTTCCCCTTGGTGTCATTCTGCTGAAATGCTTTGCACCAAACAACTCAGCAGCGCTGCTGAAGAGTGAGGATAAGCAAGATGCTCCACCCATGGAAGCTTTGTTGGCACCTGTCCCACATTCTGGGTGAAGAATGCACGAGCAGAAGCTTGGATTTTAAGACAGTAAGAGCCTTGCAGGGCTGCAGGTGTTACCACCTGTGACCCCTTCCAGAGCACAGAGCAAGCACAGACTGAGAAGGGGGTAGCAGAGGAGTTTCAAGGTGCTCTTGCATCCTGTGAGCCCAGGATCAATATCCCAGCTGTCGGGATGTCCCAGCTGTCCCAATGCCTCTGCCATCCGCCAGGCACACATCCCAGCCCCTTGCACACACAAAGTGGGGCACAGTCCCCATCCCCACACCTGTGGTCACCTCATGTCCCTGGGGCTCAGGCCAGTACCCACCTCCTCAGTCACTCCTGCAGTCTCTCCTTGCCTCAGGGCCACTCCAATACCAGCCTGGGCATCCCGTGCTGACAGTCTCCGGTCCTCCAGGACTTTTGCAAGGATCTTGTGTTCCAGAGCCTGGAGTTCTGCTTGCAAGTCTTCCCGCTGGAAGATGAAGGCAGCGGCACCATCCTGCTGGGACTGTGACAGGAACCTACTCATCCACACTGGGAACTGTGCTTCCACCTGGAACGGTGCAGACAGAGCTCAGCCCTGGAGCAGGGACCCCTGCTTGCCTTTCTGCCACAGGCTGGGGACCAAGGACTCACATCAGCCTGCACTGTCTTCAGCTGCTCCAGTATCCCCTCCACGTGCTTCCCCATCACCTCCTGGTCTAACTTGAGGCTTGCCAGCTCCCTCCTCAGCACTGCCACCTCCTGCTCCAGCTTGCCCAGCTCCTGTCGGAAGGTCCCTCGCAGGTTCTCCTGCACTGAGCTGTGCCAAGAGAAAGGTAACAAACCCCCATGCCACAAACTGGAGGAAGAGGTTCATCCCACATCACCTATGCTCAACCCCATCTCCAGACCCAGTTTTAATTCCGGTGGCAGTGACCTCTTCTACTGCATCCCTTGGGAAAGCATCCTCAGCTTGCCCCTCATGTGAAGGACCACATTCGCAGTGATGCTAAACGACAGCAGCAAAGGTCATTTGCTGCCATTGCTCTTGGAGCCCTGCTGCCAGCCACAGAATCACAGAATGGGTCAGGTTGGAAGAGACCACAGGGGTTCATTTGGTCCAACCTCCCTGCCCTAGCAGGGTCACCCCAGAGCACATGGCACAGGATTGCATCCAGACAGTTCTGAACTATCTCCAGTGAGGGATACTCCACAACCTCTCTGGGCAATCTGTTCCACTGTGTGGTCACTGCACTGTAAAGAAGTTCTTCCTCATATTCAGGTGGAACTTCTTGGGTATCAGTTTCTGCCTATTACCTCTTATCTTATTGCTTGGCAGCACTGAGAAGAGCCTGGCTCCAACCTCTTGTCACTCTCCCTTCAGCCACTGACACTGATGAGGTTCCCTCTCAGTTGTCTCTTCTCAAGGTGAGCAGGCCCAACTCCTTCAGCCTTTCCTCCTAAGAGAGATTCTCCAGTCCCTTCATCATCTCTGTAGCCTTCTGCTGGACCAGCTCCAGGAGCTCCATGTCTCCCTTGTACTACTGAGGAGCCCAGAACTGGACACAGCACTCCAGAGGTGGCCTCACTAGGGCTAGGTAGAGACAAGATCACCTCCCTCAACCTACTGACAATGCCCTTGTTAATGCACCCTAGGATACCACTTGCCTTTTTGGCCAAAAGGGCACAGTGCTGGCTCCCACACACACCCACGCATGTATCCTTCCTTCCTTTCCCCCCCCCATTATGCCTCTTGATCTCTCCTTTGTCCCAAACCAGGGCTGCAGACCCCTCCTAAGCCTGGCTGAGGGGAATTCACCCAGCTACCTGCCTGCCCCTAAGAGAGCAATGGCCTTGCCCCACAGCCAGCATTACCTCTGCCACTCGGAGTTCAGCTCCAGCAAGCGCGCTTCCATTTCCTACCAGGAAAGGTGGAAGGGGTGAGACTTGTGACACCACTGGTGAGGGTGTCCTGTCCAGGTACCACCACATGCTTGTCCACTTACCTGGGAAGCTTGTGCCATCTTGCCCAGGCGCCCATCTAAATCCCTCTGTACCTGGGCTCGGAGCACATCCAGCTCCCCCTGAAGGATAAGGAACAGGGTGGAATATCAGAGCCTGGCCCTGCACACCCCCTGCACACCCCTGCATTCCCCGTGTCACTCACCTGGAGGTGGTTGGCCATGTCGGTGTGGAGATGCTCCTTCAGCCCCGCGTCCCGGCGGCTCACCAGCCCCTCCAGCAGCGCAAGGATGTCCCCTGGGGGTGGTTCTCCCCCTGCTGTCACTGCTGCCGCCCCACGACGCAGCTCCCACCGTGACAGCTCGGCCTCCAGTGCTTCAAAGCGCTTCTCCAGGGACTGGAAGCGAGCCAGGAGTCGGTGTCCCCCCTGCAGCAACAAAAACAGGGTGTGATGCAGCCCCCCAGGGAAGTGCCTGCTCCACAGGACCCCTGTGAAAGGGGAGCCTGACGACCCATTCCCCAGAGTCAGTGGCATCTTATTCATCTGTTGCTTTCCAGGAGAAGGCAAATATTTCCCCTGCTCCATCCCAGGGACACCCCAAGAGTGAGATGGCCACAGGCTGGGGGAGCCAGTGTGGAACCATCATCTGCCCCACTCTCCACCATTCCTCATACCCTGGAAGCAATTGTTCAGCCATGGATCACACCGTCCCAGCTCTCCCTGCAAGGCATTGATCCCACCTGGGTCACCACCATGCCTTTGCTGAAGCTTACCTGGTCCAGCGTGGTCAGGTCCCCTACCCCAGGAACATCGGAGGAGGAGGAAAGTTTTCCAGCTCCCCACCATGGGAAGGAAGGCAGGCTGAGTGTTGACAGTCCATAGGGGTAGAAGTACCAAGCTCCTGGGCACAGAAGGACGAGATGGTCAAAACCACAGGCTGGTAATGGGCCACAGTAGTGGGCAGGGTGGACATGCAGAGGCTCAGCCATCAGCATCTCCAGGGATTACCAGGAGACACTGGCACGGGGATGCAGATGGACCAGGCTACCAGAAGCCATGAGCACTGATCTCTAGGCCATCCCATCCCCCAGCAATGGCAGTGGGATGCTCTGCACTGCCCCAGATCTCAGGGCAGCACATCAAGGGAGGCTGGCTCACCGTAGGCAGCAGCAGCGAGGAACAGGAGGAGGAGCAGCAGCAGCAGGGACCTCTTCAGACGTGGGTATCGCCTGGAACACAGAGAAGAAAGAGGTGCCTGTAGGACTGCAGCCACCTTCCATCACCTTTGGATGGGGGCCACAGGGAAAGCAAAGATGACAAGACACCCACCACCCCAAACGTGCCTCCCCTTTCTGAGGTTCTGCAGGTTTTCCCCACGCTCCCCCCATCCTGGTGTCCCCCCCAGCACGCTCACCTGGAGAAAGGGACGCTGTTTAGGCGGGAAGCCCTGCCGGTGAGGCGGCGCCAGGCCCCTGCCAGCCCCGAGAACAGCCACCCCATGAACCGAACTGCCAGGAGAAAAAACAAGCCTCAGGAGGGGTCCTGGAAGAGATGTCCCCTCCATGCCTAAGGGTGGCACCACAAGGGGATAAAACCCCTCCACCCAAACAGGGAATAGCACACACACAGCACCCAGAGAATAGGGATGCTGACTGGCAAGACCACTGTTGCTAGAAGTGCCCTGCCAGCCCTCCACTGACCTGGGGAGGTGAACACTTGCCAGAGGAAGGAGCCCACCCGGGAGGCTGCACTTTTTAGACCTGACCCGGAGCTACTCTGGCCTGAATAATAGTGACCTGGAAAGGAAGCAGCAAGTCACCAATGCAGACAGCATCCCAGTGTACTGCCCAAAGCAAAGGCTTTGCACTGGGGGTGGCATCTAGCAGAGACTGGCAGCACACTGGGTACAGCCAGGCACTGGGGATGCCTCCCCTGCATTCCTGTCACTACAGACAGACTAGAGCATCCCTACCTGCATAGTCGTCCTCTGAGGAGTACCCAGATGAAGATGTGTAGGTGTCGTATGTCTTGCTCTCTAGCACCCCATTGATTTTACTGGACTCGGTGTCTCCTGTACCTCTTCTCCTCCTGGTGGAGAGCTCTCCACCTGCCCCCAAAACACAGCGTTAAACTGAGAAATCATCCACCATCACTTCCACAAGGGGCAACCCAGTTAGCCAGCCTAGGCAGTTGCCCCATCAGTCTCCAGTGTCCAAGGAGGTTCCCAGCTGCCCTAGGAGAGTGAGAAGGCTCACCCCAGTACGTGCTGCTGTCCAGGTCATCATCCAGCATGGAGGTACCCAGGGCAGCAAGACCCCGGCTGCCCCCTAGGTAGGACTCGCTCATCATGGACTCGCTATAGTAGGAGGTTTGGGTGCTGGGGGCGGGAGAGAGGCGCTTTGTGCTACTCGATTTCCTCCTGATTGTCCTGCGGGAGGCGAGAACAGGTTCATCAGACTTGTGTGGTTACAGCGTGGCGGGGGTGAGGGAGGGCACCTATGAGGGGAACTGGGGAATTCACCCCAATCCCTCGACTAGCATCACTTCCCTCCACACCGGATGGCGGCAGCTTTCGGAAGCTGCAACCTCTGCTTAGCGGAGGCCTCCCGCCCGTCCCGGGCATCGCTTCCGCTCGCACCGCTGCGGTTTTCCGGCACTTGCAGCGCACCTCCCTCCTCCCTCCCTCCCTCCCTCCCTCCCTCCTTCCCTCCTTCCCTTCTCCTTCTCGCCATCCAGCTGCAGCCGGGAGCTGGGAGCTGGCACCCGGCCACCCACGGCAGGCTCCAGTGCCGGGCCCGTGGGGACGCAGCGGTGCCTGGGCAGGGAGCGCGGGGCTCTGGCCGGAGCCGGGGCACAGCCAGTGCCAAGGCGGCCATGCCGGAATGCGTCGGGCTCCCCGTCACGCTCCCTTCTGCGAGCTATCCCCACAGCCCACCCAGGAAGGTGCCCGGTCCCTTGTGCGGGATGGAATGCCCCGCCCCTGTCAGATTTGGGCAGGGGGAACCCCCCACTCGTTCCCCCCACTGACCTGCCGGTGGTCTCCTTGAAGGGGAGCTGTGTCCCACCCAGCAGAGATGTGCTGCTGCTGCTGGTCGTGGCATCATCGTCCCCGGGGTAATAGCGGCTGGTGACAAGGCGCTGGCTGCGGCGGGACATGGCGGCAGCAGGAGGGGGCCTCGGCTCACCTGGGGTAGGGAGACGGCCGCGGAGAGAGAGAGAAGTGTCAGTGGCAGGTCCCTGGAGGGACGCACCCAGCGGGATCCCACCCCCGGGGACCCTGTGGTCCCCACCCCTGTGGCAGGGGTCCCGGCCCACACCGAACGCCGTCCCGACCTGGCGGCCGTGGGGTCCCCCAGGATGGAGCTGCCTCCCTCCCTGTACAGGGATCCCCGATAAACCCCCCTCACCTCCTCTCCTCTCCGCGGACCGGCTGTCCCCGGCCCCTCCGCGCCCCCGGCCCGACACACCTTCCTTCCCCCAAGGCCCCGGTGCTGACCCGGCCCGCCCGCAAGCCCCCGGCTCTGCCCCTCGCAAACCCACCGGCAAGTGCCGCGCAGCGGGGAACGATCCCCGCCGTCCTTCCCGTCAGCTCAGGCCGCTCTCGCCGCCGCCGCTCCCTTTTGTTTTGCGGGGGAAGGCGGCACCCGCCTCCCCGCCCTCCCCCCGGGCCCCCCCGCCACCGCCCCGCCCCGCGGAGAGGGGGGCAGCCACCGCTCCCCCGGCCTCTGGGGACCTCTTCTTTATCATCGTCATTACTGCTATGTATTATTATTATTACCGCCACTGGCATGTTCTTTTTATTTTATTTTCATCATTTTGGGGGTGCCGATGATGAGGTCCCATCTACGCTCTGCTGCCCGCCGAGAATTTTCCACCTCCCCAAATACCTCAGCCCTGGGCTTCCTCCCGCCGTGCCCAGCACGGGCAGCAGCCAGCCCACGCTGCCAGCCAGCCCAGGGCATGGGTGATGCCAGCCCAAAATGGGAGCTCCCAGGTGCAGGGCTGCACCCCAGCCCCGTTTGGGCTTTGCTGGGGTAGCTGGTTTGCTGGTCCTGGTAGGGTGAGAAATCCCCGCACCCTACGCACCACCCGACACGGCCGAACCTATCCCTGGGGCGTGGGCAGCCCCACTCGACATCCGTGTGCCCACGCCGCCTCGACTGGGCGGGCGTGTTCTGCTGCTCCCTGGGCCACTGGCTCCAGACACCACGCTGCCACTGCTCTTCCCCACGGGCGGCTGGCCAGGCTCGTCAGGGGCTTGTGAACCAAACCGGGCTGCTCCCGTGGGACCTTGAACCGCTGCGGCACAGCTGGGACCTTGTGCAAACTCGCCGGGCTGAAAAAAACAGCCACCCTCCCACACCCTGCGTTTTTAAATCTGACGGCGCCTCGGAAAAAGATTTGCCTGGGGGAGCTCTGAGAGTCAGGGCAACTGGCCACCCGTGTCTGGACGCGGATTTTAAGCTATGTCTGTGGGGCACAGTGCAGGAATGGTCCCCTGGCTTTGGTACAGAGCAAAAGGGTATTTATATAAAGAGTTTAAAAAATACGAAGCTGGCAGAAGGGAAGGAACCTATTGCAAAACAGCTCTGAAACCTTTTCCTCCGTGTGTTGGGCTTTGGGGCGCAAGCCAGGGCAGTGGCAGGAGGACGTGCTGTCAGCATCGGGGGGAGCACACTGCAACAAACCCCGATTCAGCGTCCCCAGCCCCGTTGTGTAACACAGACAGATCCTCTTTGTCTCCCTTTTCTTTTTTTTTTTCTTCCTTTTGAGCCCATTTTTTGTTCCAGCCAAAATCCCTGCCTAGCTTTTCCAGCTCCATCTCCCACTGTGCCAGCTGCCCTTTTTCACCTTTTCCCGTGGCTTCCCATCCCTTTGCAAGTGTCTGTCTGGGACAGAGGACATCTCCCCTCCCCAGTGGCACCTTTATCTCTGGCCATGCAGGTGGCAATCCCGTGTCCCGACCTGGGTACACTGGCAGTGGCTGTCACAATGGCACCTGCTCCAGCTGACCTAACCCTGCGTGGATTAACCCCCCCGGGAGGCTCAGGGGATAAGCTGGGTGCTGAGCCACCAGGCACTAAGTAGGGTGCATAGCCCCGGGTCAATCCATCCCCTCTTTAGGAGCCACATTTTGGGTGTGAAAGGAGTCAGTGGCGGTTCCTGGGGGATTTGGGAAGATGTTGTGAGGGGAGTGGGGTTTATCCTTGCTGCATCCCCGGTCCCGTGGAGGAGGTAGTGATGTCAGAGCCATGGGAATTTTCGAGTGGGTGTGGGAAGACTGGGGCAAAGATAAGTGGTGTGTAGCTGGGAGCTTCTGCCTCATTTTCCCCACAACAGCAGTGGGGAGTCTCAGCTCTCTTTTTGGGGGTCACCAGGGCATCACCGTGCCTCGGCACGTGGTGGGGGTGGGGCAGAAGGAGATTGCCAGCTGTTCCGGTTTGGCAGCTCTTTCTGGGGAAAGGCAGGAAAAATCCCTACCCTTTCCTAAAAGGCTTTGGAGGGCTGAAGTGACACGTCCAGGCACGTAAGGACAGGCCGGGGCTGGGAAAGCAGCCTTGGTGGGGAAGATCACAGCTCATGTCTTCTCCACTAGGCCAACCTTTTTATTTAAATTCCCTCCCTGTCCCAGCTATCCTTACAACCTGCTTTCCTGGTTCATCACACCACCAGCTCTGACACCACCAAAAGCTGATGCTACACAGAATCAGAGCTGCACATCGATCCCACATCATCCTCGGCAGCACAGTAAAACAGCCCAATCCAGCAGGGTAGCCAGCCCCCCATCACACCCATGACCCCACATCATCCACCAGCACCTCTTCCTGGTGGGCTGCCGTGGCCAGGCAGTGTCCCACCACCACCAGCACCTTCCCCAGGCGCCGGTCCAGTGCCTGCAGGTGGGGCTCAGCCAGGACAGGGGCCAGTGGATCTGTGGCCAGCGCCTCACGCAGCACATCACTCAGGCGGTAGGGCTGGGTGGCCAGCAGCTGCAGCCGCAGGTAAGTCGACTTCTTGATGCTGCCAGAGATGAGGAGGGAGAGGTCTCAACAGGAGGAGCCTCTCCCCAGCAGCAGACTCGGGTGGGCGGCAGCCCCTTACCTGCAGCATTGCTGGAGAGGGGCCAGGATGGATGGTTCATCCCGTGAGTGTGTGCCGAAGCTGGGGGTGAGGAGAAGCCCATAAGGATGTGTCAGGGTGGCATTTCAGCAAGGCTGGAGGTCTCCCCCCACTCCTTTGCTGTGATTGCTCCCCCTACTCCCCAAGTTTACCCGCGACCGTTGTCCAGGTGGAGCAGGAAAGTGTCATTCCCAAATTTCTCAAAGGTCTCGTAGTGGTGCCGGTCCATGTTGCCTGTGGTGGTCCAAAAAATTTGCCATCAGGTTGTGGGCTGGGAGATAGAAGCAGGGACACAGAGCACTCTCCTGGTGTGAGACTGAAACCCAGAGCCTGGGGAAAAGAGTTGGAGGCACCTTTAAGGTGTTCATCTGGTGGCCACGGCCATGCAGGGAACTGAGCAGAGACTCCACGGCCTCCAGGCCCCTTCGCATCCCAGCAGCCCCACATATGGACAACAGTGGCAAATGGAGCAGAAGTAATGGCAAAGGCATGGCTGGGTGATCAGGAATGAGGAGATGGGAAACTCTCCCAGACAGATGCTGGTGAGGGGACAGTGCAGGGAGGAAGAAGTGGCCCAGGGATAGGAGAGGCAGCAAGAGCCCTGGGCAGCATCATCTTCACCTCTAGCTCTGCAGGGGCTGCATGTGAGAAAGTGCTGGAGGGTGCTTCCCATGTCCAGGATATTCAGCTGGGGTCTCCCTGGAATCTCTTCACCTTCGACTTCTGCCTGGGAAATGCCCTGCTGGCATGGCCCCGTGCTGTCATTATGGGTAAGACTGCTGCTTGGCTGCAGCCTGAACAGCAGTTTGGCCAGCAAACCTCGCAGGGCATAGTACCACGGGACACAGAGCCATCAGGGCCTCTTGGTCCTCAGGGACCTCCACAGCTCCCAGCACAGGCACAGAGGGGCTCACCCATGAGGAAATCGAGGATCGTCATGTCGATGAGGTCAAGGAGGCGATGGCCGCTGTTGTAGGGTGGTGTCTCTCGCACCTGAGCGCAGTAGTTGGGATTCAGCTCCCACCTGGTGGCAGAAGCCGGGGAGGGAAAGGGGCTATGAGAGCAGGTGTGGAGAAAGCCCCTCCCATCCCATGGCTATGCTGGCCCATGTCCCCGCACTCCCTCGTGCCCCGTCTCACTCAGCCTTCTTGCTCTTGTGGTAGGAGCGGCGCCAGGGGCTGCGCCAGGAGCGGCGCTTGGCCAGGGTCTTGTCAGGGAGCAGGGCAGCCATGGAGCCCTCCAGCCGGTCCGGTTTGCCACAGAGGGCGTGCTCGGTGGAGCAGTAGTAGGAGCACTCCCCGTAGAAGCAGACGTTACCCGCTGGCCATGGGGACAAAGCAAAGGTTGACAAAGAGAAGGAAGGCAACGAGTCTGTGACCCCCAGGTAGAGTGGTCCAGCAAGCAGCCAGGGAGGATGCTCCATGCACGCTGGCCATGTGCCACCAGCAAAGCAGTGGCAAGGGAGGCTGTGAGGAACAAAAGCCTGTGGCAGGGTACCCATGGGAGCTGGAACAGTCCCCAGCAGGATAGTTTGTCTGAGTGCGGGGGGAGCCAGGGGAGCAGCAGCCAGCTCCAGGTGGCCATAGGAGAGGACAGAGAGCATGAAAGGTCACCTGGGGAGATGAAGAAAGTCTTGGCCAGTTTCTTGTCTGTGGTGATATCCCAAATTTCCTTTGTTATGTTGACCAAACGGCCAGAAACTGGGGGGATTCGCCGGAAATCCAGGATCCTGAAACACAGAACTTGGAACCATTTCTCTCTGACCTCAGCTGGTTTAATAACAGTGACTTATTAAAACTGACAGGAGGCACAGGTACGCCTCACAAAAGGGAGCAAGAGGTGGGATGAAGGAGCAGTTTCTCTGGTGATTTGCCAGTATGGGAGGGCAGGGTTGGATGCAAAGCTTCTGCTCACCTGTCCAGGTGGAAGGCTGCAATCTCTGCATTGTGCCGCTCAAAGTCTGAGAAATAGAAGAAATCAATGGGGGTCTCCTGGTCCCGGGTCTGCCTGGAAGGAGAGGGGACAGTGGGGGCAACCATCGTGGATGGGATTAGTTCCA